CACACACACACACACACACACACACACACACACACACACACACACACACACACACAAATAAAGCTAAAGACCAATAGTGGTCTCACTGAAAGGAAGAATGCAAGGGAAACAGGCTTGTACTGCAGGAATCCTCTGCTATAAAAAAGGAAAGTGGCACTGGAGGTGACAGGTACAGTTATGGTTGACTAAATGTAAATGTCAAATGAAGAGATTACACCAAAGAGTGCCATCCAGACAAACAAGCCACACCCTGTCAACACACCTTGGAGCGTTTCCCTACAGTGTACAGGCAGCGCACAGAGAGGCAGAGGATATCGTGACTAAGGAGACTAGGGAAGCTATCCAAGCAGACACCATAATGGCCCAAATGCTTGTAGAGGGCCAGCTATAAATAGCCAAGGACTGCCCTAATGCCCCACCTCCGTATCAACAGTGGAGGGTTTTTGCTCTGGCACAAGGAGCCAAGAAGCAGGCACGTGTCACTAAATTAGACCAGGACACATGCACTTTACTTGACAAACAGATGAGAATCACTGCAACAACAGGAGCACTTGGAGTAGATTTAGAATAGCACACACAAACGACCAAGTAAGCTTCATTTAAATAGGTACAGTCGGTCTTTTTCAGTTTAACTGAAAAAATGTTGTACTTATAAATATACATTGATTGGTGTGTAATTAGGTCTTCCAACAAATTGATGCATTCTCATAAACTTAGAACTAGTCCACTCAAAATACATAGGAGCGAGCGCTGGATTGCAGAAGCCACTGTGTTGCCCAACATCCTGAATACAGTGTCTGAGACAGACACATTACACATTTATGAGTGTAGCTAGAGACCAGCCACATATGTAGGATGACAAAGACAGAGGAGAAGAGAACTTTAACCAGGTGGGGTTGGAGGGTGAGAGCTGATGGTGAAGCCCATCATGCAGGTGGAACCACCAGTCACCACCACGAAGCCTGCAGCTGCAAACTAGAGTAAGAAGAGGCCCAGACCTCACAAGCCTTGGAAGAGCCGCTGCAGGTTCATAGTTATGACACCATGACATGATTTCTATTTCCTAAGGAAGAAGCGAGCAAAGGTAGAAGCTATATATTGTTTACACTTCCAATATCTCGACTTGCAGTGAGTGTCCTTAGTAGCAGGTGGTGAAAGTAAATCACTAAAGAAAAATTGGTGCACTGGACTTATAAAACAAGACAAAACAAGAGCATTGTTTCATAACCTGCAGTGACCAAAATCCTAACTAACGATTAAACTAAATTAATCACCCATCTTCACAGGTGCTCATGATTGTCTTTCTGCGTAAGGTTTCACTTGCAGCACAGGTAAATCTAGTGTGAAAATGTCCATTCATATTCAACTCCCGCCTATTAGAGGGAAAAAATAAATACAGAAAAAGAAAATACAAAGTGAAGTCTCTTACCTGAATTCCCCAACTGTTTGTAAAATCTATACTCCAAATGGAGCTGCGGCGCCCTGGATTTGATAGGTTCCTAAAAGAGAAGAAAGGAAGAGTGTTCACACATCGGTTTGTGTAGGTATGCGTGCGTACAGGTGACTGCATCAAAAGTTGCTTTTTTTTTGGCACAGAAAAAGTTTCCCTGTAAATGAGATAAATGTAAAACTAGGGCTGTTCGAACATAAACCTTTCACAATAAAGCTCAAGATCCTGTTGAGACTTTTCAAAATAAACTGAAACATGAAAGAGTATGCAGAGTGTTTATGGATGAGAAGCAAAAAAGAGACGTCAGGTGTAGGGGTGGGTTTTAATAATCGATTCATCGATTCTGGCTTGGATAACGTGATATCGATTCATTAAAATCCTGAATCGATATTTTTATATAAATGTATTTTGCGGAAATTCCAGAATCTCAGGTGAAACGTCACAAAATTTTGACAACCACCAAACATTTAAAACATTAAATGTGAGCAGGTACACGGCTTCTGCACAAAGACGTAAACACAAAGCGCGGACCCGCAGATCACAATCAGTGAGACGTCGCCTTTCTCCCCCGACGGCACGGACACGGTCGGGGCTGAAAGCCGACAGCTCGCTGATTCTGATGTTTCGGCGGGTCCGTGCTCTGTGTTCACGCCCTTTTTGCCTAAAGCTGTTAGTTTTTATCTCTCTCCAAAAAATATTGACCAAACCAGCAGCAAAAGAAGATCCAAACTAAGCTTCACATAAACATCGTCATGGACTCACTCTGACTTTTGCTTCCACCACAATAAAAAAAATAAAAATCACACTTCATGCACAGCTCTCTCTCTCAGTATACTTCAAGAACAGTTTCCCGTCTATCCCTGAAATCTGTTTTCTGCATTATTCGTTTGCTTGTTACGCACAAGACTGCCGTTATTTACAGGCTGTCCGCCGCTGTTTTTTTTTTTTTTCCTTTTACTTACTTCCGAAAAGAAAACCTAATTTCTGCCGTTCAATAGGCTTCTAAACAAATTTAAATTTGTCTCTAATAAAACCGCTGTAACTTCAGAGCTAATGTTCATAAGTTGATTAATGGTTTTCTTTTGTTTTTGATCTACTGCAGAACATTTTTATAAAATCCCAGGCCAGGAAAACCTTCATGTTTTTCTGTGTTTTATCTTCAGCTACTTTGACACAAAGGCCTCTGCTGTGATGCTCACACCTTTGATAAAGTCTCAGCTTCCTTTTTATAGATACAAAACATGTATCACCTTGATTCCTCCCATGCTAGATATGTAAATATACTGATCTGAATTATAATATTTCTGACTGTCTGAGGCAAAATTTCCCAGATTCAAATGAAATCGAATCGTGGATCGAATTGATTCAGGACCTTGTCAATCGGAATCGATTCTAGAAATCAGTGATGATACCCGGCCCTAGTCAGGTGCTAAAAAATAAACATTAGACTCAAACGTTAGAACAGGCTTTTCCCCGCAGCACGCCGTGTAATAAATACTCACAACGAAAACGGCGGGCGTTACAACTTATAACCAAAATAAATATCGTTTCATGCATCGGATAAAAATTCCAGGTACACGAAGCCCAGCTGGAAACACTTCACGCAAGTCGAGATGCCCGAGATTCACAGAATTTACAGAAAATGTTAAATTTTTGTGACTTATATTATTACGTTATTGAGACGATAGAGGTCTTATATCGGGATATGAGATTTTGGTCATATCGCACGTGAAAGGACGTTTTAAACTCCCTACACCATAAAGGTGTGAATTTTACCCCAAGGGAGCAATGTTTGTGAGGAACAACCTCGCGTGCATTTTTATGATTGCACTGCCTTGCAATTAACTTGAATACCTATCGTACCACGTTTTACTTATTTTAATGCCAAACAGAACTTTAATTAAGTTTCAGGTCACACTTGAGGGACGTGAGAGGATAAAGAGCAGTTCCAGCTGGTGTACAACAGGCTTTTGTGATGACATGGCTGATAATCAACACGCCAGGACATAATGTTCATTATATCGCAAGCTCCAGCTTTGCAACCTAAAATGTAATCTGATTAACCCCACTCTCATGATGACAAGGGCATTATAGACAAACGTGAAGGGGATAGAACAAACACACCCAACTTAATTCCTCTCCTTAATCTTCAATAGCTGTGCCACAGCCTTTGTTAAAACCCAAGTTTTAGTGCTTGGTGTACTGGCTTTACATGCCTAAAGTTTTGTAGCTTTCTGTGTGTTAAGTCAGCTACTCTACATACAAAAATATGAAAATTCCCTAAACTTTATTGAGCCCAGCAACTTCACTTTGATCAACTTGTTTCCCATGGGCATCTAATTCCAAAGCACTCCTATTTTAAATTATATAAACTGAAAGCTGAAAGGCTGTCAAGCTCCCACATTCACTCCATTAGGCCTTTATCAAATCAGGAGCATCGTCTACTTCTGGTGCCCTGCAAGGACGTAGGAGTGTGAACACAAAGTATGAGCCATGTTGAACACGGTAAGGGACTTTACATCCTTTTATGATAAATGGCTGTCAGGGCTATAAATACATCCTGTGGCTTTTGTTTAAGGTGCTTTCAGAAGACGGTTTAGCGGAGGTGGTTTTAAAAAAACAAAACAAAACATAAGAGCATTGACCAACCTTGCTATAGTGTTGCCTGTGTGCTAAAATGCCACCCACATAGGCCCTGGTTTAATCAAGGTGCCTAATTGTGGGGAAAACAAAAACAGCTGTGATCAGTGTTATACAGCTAGTTGGCTTTTTCCTTCTCTAATACACTGGATTTATTTGGTAATGTTATGTTATGTGTTTTGCAGTGTGCAACTTCTGCAAACAGCTGAGAAAGCTAGCATTTAAGCAGTCTTTAGGAATACATATGCAGGCTTCTTGAAGGACATTCAATTGTCTGCCTTTTGCTCTTTGTCAACATGATCCAACACTAGGGATGGGCTATACCATACCATTCACGGTAATACCGGTGTGATGTTGGGCAATGATAAGAAAATGAAATATCGCGATAGACTATGGGTAAAATGCGCATGCGCAGTGCCTTTGTTTACATACGCACATGGCGGCGACGGAGAATGAGAAGAGCGAAAGCGGATCGTTGAATGAAACAGATGAATCTGAACTGGTTTGTAAAAATGCTGCAGCTTCACTGGTGTGGAACTGGTTTAGCTTTCGTCCGTCAGATACACAACAAAGCACTATTTTTGGTAGCGCATGCTAGCGGGCCGTCGTTATTACCGTGTTGTTTGGAAAATACGGCGCACTTAAAATCATCCTTTGATTTTTCTGAAAGTCGACAGAGCCCCTTATAATCCCGTGTGCCTTATGTATGAACTCTGGTTGTGTTTACTGACCTGGAAACGATTTTATGTGCACGGCGCTCGAAAATCTGTTAAATGTTTCGACTTTGCTAAGCTACGAAGCCGCACCGCTTGATGGATTTTCGGAGCATTATGGCTATCGTAGGCGGAGCCTCGCGGAGTGATACGTGCTGTGCTTCAACATAATGTTACCGTATTGTGTGTGTATAACCTCTTTAAGTTTCGTGGATATTATACATGGTTATGCTGAGGATATGTCGGCCAGTTTCCACTGGAAATGCCTTTTGGTTAAACTGTCACCAAGGAATTTGCATTTGCACTGTTACATTTTTATATTTATTTTAATGCACATAAAAAACAGCTGCTTGTTTAAGTGAAAATACATTGATGTTGTTTTTTTTTTTTTTGCACTAATAAAGTTGAGGAGTTGTAAAGTATTTTGTCTAGTGTCAATTATATCGTCATCGCAAATTTTCAAATGTATATCGTGATAAATATTTTTGGTCGCCCTGCTCTATCCAACACTACTCTGCACATAATGATGGTGATTTTATTAAAAATATTTCAGATCTGGATTCATCACTCCATAAATCTGTGTCCTCTGATTTTATTCACTCATTTCTGATGAGGTTTCAGTAAATGGAACAATGGGGGCAGATCCTGTGTCAGTCTTTCTTAGAGACATGACTACACATCTACGGTAGTTCTTTTAAGCCTGGCAGTTCTTTTGTCCTCCATTTGTCATGTTTCATGAAAATGATTTAGAACCCATTACACATGATGCTGTGATATGATATGATATGATATGATATGATATGCCAAGTTTACGGCTAACAGGTCTTTGGGTATCACCTTGCTGGTGGAAAACCGCTGGATTGTGCCGGTCAAACTGCACCATCTTTGGCATTTTTGTAGATTCAACTAAATAAATAGGAACAATTATGTGTTGTTGTGACAAGCTTGTAGTAACAAAGTGTCCAGTGATTCATAGATCAGTGTTAAGTAATTTAACAAAAAGAAATATTTCTCAGATACAAACAATTATTCAGTGTCCTTAGAAAAAACTTTGAAAGGCCTCCAGAAAGACTGAAGAGCACTTTTAAGCAAGCCTGGCTCCTTAGAAGCAAAATATAAAGAAATGAGGGGTGGCTCAAGACTTTTGCACAGTGTATAAAATGTAAACATAGTATATTAATAAGCACATGGAAAACCCTTCTTTGAAAAAGAACTATACGCATAGTTTTCTAGAACATGATGATGGGATAAGCCTTTGTCTGATCTCTGAGTCATCACATATATATTTTTCTGCAATTCTTCAAAGAAAAAAAATGTACAGAAAAGCACAGAGCTAGTGAGTAGAAACTGAGGAGGCAATAAAAAGGAGTGGAAGCCTGAGGGAGAAGACGTGTGACTGCTCTGGGAGGTGGAGCAGGTCTCTCACACATGTCAGGCCATGCCAGGGAGGAGAGGGAGAGAATATATTCAATATATAAATAAGGGGCAAAAACAGATGGCAGCAACCCGCAGGACCCTTTAAAACAGCTTACAATAGGAAACAGAGGCTTATGGCAGCTTTACGTACTTAAGAGTCATCTCTATTCCCAGCAGATGGGCTAAGCTATGGCTGTGTGAATGACCAGGGCCGAGCTACAAATGTCTGATGTAACATCTCTGTATATGACAAGGATTCTTCTCAGCTTCCTGCACAAAT